GTAAAAGACTCGCACTGGAAAGTGGCGTCAAGCGAACGTTTATAATGTCAACGGAAAATATGGGGTAGTTTCCAGAATGGGGGATTACGGATTTCCATTTTTTACTCCGTCTTTATGAGAGCGTATAGCTTGTTTATAACGTAATCCATAACGTTTATGGGGACCTATTGTACGAAAATAAACCTCCGCTGGCATTTTTTAAGCTGGCATCGCTGTTAAAATTCACATATCTACCTACACCCCCTCATAAATTAGGGGGTGCTTATGCTAATATCGCACGAGCACTCTGATGATACCGTTACGTTGTTGGGTACGATAAGACTTTGAGTAAGCTGCAAAATTGATTAATGCCTGGACTTTACATAGGGTTACATTGAACCACCAAGGTCTTTTGCGAGGTAGAATTTTTTGGGAGACAAATGTGATGAAAATTCCAAGTTCCTAGCATGTATTTTCCCTACGAACTGAAATTATCATAAAAATGGCGTGAAGTTGTACATCCCATGCAAAGCTGTCGACAGTTGATGAAGGGCCCCAACTTGGCACAAGTTAGTCTCTTTGAGCGATTTTTATTTTTCCGTGTTTTGCCTTTCACTGCACCGCCACTGGACCGATCTTCAAGAACTGTAAAGCTTTTCTGTCCTTGACATAGTAATTATCTCGTGTGAACATTTCATCGAAATCCGAGTGGTAGTGAAAGATCTATGAGAGTGAAGGTAGATGTGATGTCTGAAAGTCATCCACTCTCGGTACTAGGGCCGCTGCTCTTTTCACTGTTCATCAATGATTTTCCAGAATGTATGTCTTCTGCGCATATTACTATGTTTGTAGAAGATACAAGACTGTATCATTGTCCGCTGCCACTACCGATGAACTTCACTCAAAAGCAGTAGCCGCGATGGATCTGTTTTTAGCGTGGTGTCAACGCACCAGATTGCTGATGAATGAAACTAAAACCGTAATTGTTAATTTTACCATCTGAAGACGTATCCCAGAATACAACGTATTGCTCAGCACCTATGAGATATCGCAGCTTTGCAAGCTATTGGGAACATTTTTGACAGTAAGTTGTCCTTTATCAAACATGTTGACCACGTATGTAACAACCTGAATGACGCCTATTACGCCTTGTTGCAGCTTAAAGCCACATTTAATGTCCAGGGCTTGCTCAGTGTCTACTTCGAGCTTTCACATCCAACATCGTGACATGGGGTAATTTCAAGTGATAGAATTGCTCATTAACAATTGGTGAGACTAATATTTAATAAAAAATCCTACCGAATCTTGCAGAGAGGTTTTTAAGCAGACCAACAATCTCACACTTTCTTATATTTATATTGTCAGATGTGTTACTTTTTTAAGAGGAAATGATTATATGTTTCGTAACCTGTCATAAAATCATCGATGTAACACCCGAAATGTCAACATTGAACTCATCCAGAGGCATTCTACCTCATACTTCAAAAAGTCTTCCTTTTACAATTGTGTCATCTCAGTTAACCTCACAGTGTATATGAAGGCATACTTTTTAATCATGTTTATTATTGTATCATTATATGTTACATGTGTTTAGATTGTTTTTATGTATTTTAGTACTCACTGTACTTAAGTATTTTAGATCCATTTTGACTTGATTTTTTTAACTGAAAGTTTGCTTAGTGCCTACATTGCATTTGTACCTATAGTTGACACGCCTCCTGTACCTTATATCTTGAGTGGTCAAGAAATGTGAGGTATCTCATTTTCGAAATTTTTCGCGAATTCATCGATTGATCCAGATGATATTGTGGACATCTAGAAACACCTTCTAACTTCTCATATCTAGACTAAGAAACTACTAAAATATTAAGCCATATCAGTATAAAGTTTGACGCTTATGACAGCGCTCCTTTTCATCCCAAAATTAATTTTAGGATCAATTTAAAATTGCCGAATACTAACTAGCAATTCCAAGGCACCCCTCAAATTCATGCACTTCTTTCTTCTTTGCTCTCCCTCCTCCCTTCCTTCCTTTCTTCTTCCCTTCTTTCTGCCTGACTTTCTTTGGTATCTGGGCAACCAGACCTGACAGACCTACTGACTTACAAGACTTCAACCAAGAGCAAAGGTCCTACGGACCGCTCTGACAGACAATGACGAATAGAGTAGAGAGCTTCTTTTCATGTACTTTGACACTGTTGAAGAAGCTTAAAGCAAAATACATAAAATTAGCTTTAAACACCAGAAGTAGTCTATGAGACTGGTTGGGGACATTTTTTGATCAATTAAGAAATGTTTTTAAAACTTCATTGCAACGTCACTTTGAAATATTATATTAACGTACTGCCTTTTTTCAGGTAAGCAAGCAGTCTACGATTCTCTGGAGGAAACACGAATAAAGTAAGTTACAGAAATGTAGTCCATAATATGTTTATAAAGCCGATGGAAGACCATGATGGAGCAGTTGAACCTACTTCACAAAACCAAAGACTGAAGTGGGAATACCTTGTGTATTAATTGTGGTTGATAATGTTCTTTAAACATACCCTATTATATTGACGTTTTGACGTTTAATATTCAAGTGGCTGAGTAACACGGTATAATACTCAATGTTCGTTATACAAGTGTGCTAAGATTATTATATCTACATATAAACGTGACTGTCTCTCTAGTCTGTCAGTATCTCGTCTCAACCACAATACGAGAGACTTAAAAACGTATATACAGCTACTAATTGATACCTGAGCAAGGTTATAGGCATGGTTTTATCCGCGAACTTATAATCGATTTTGTAATGAACTGTCGCAGCAAGTATCACAGTCTCCACTGTCAGCGACAAACCGGCAACAGCGCGGCCTGCCATCATCCCACTCAGCCTGTGACCGTCGAACGAAACATGCGTTTATTTTGCACTGGTTGCTAACTTAAAACGTCATGTTTAAGTAATGCTTTGAACTTTCATGTTTTGTAACTTTGGTGGCATTAGTAAACTGACAGCCAATTTGCATGTTTGGGAGATTTGATTACTTTGCCAGTGGTGCCTCCTGCACATTCCCCGGGTAAAAACGAGGAACAAAAAGCAAGTTACATATGTTCGTGCATTAGTTTAGAGTGTGCTGAATATGTACATTACATTACGAGAAATCATAAGGGTTGTTTACACCATGAACATTTTTAAAATGTATAAATATCAACCACATAAAAGAAGAGAAAATAAAATGAATGTATGTACACATAAATCCCTATGAATTATTGAAAAAACTCGTATCTTTTATTCTTTCTCTCTATTTCTTAAAATTACAATCATGTAAATAGGTCAAATAGAGTTTTTGTTATAAAAATGTTACTATCTTCAATCCTATATTTGACGAAATTTTAATCAAATTTACCATGGGGCTCTCATAATTTTTATATCTGTCGCCCCAGTAATATGACCCCATATTCATATTTCATTGCTTCTGATGACAAATCTTCTCCAACTTCAAGATTGTCCTCTTTCGGTCCTGACTTTGGGGGTTGGTTCCATCCTTTTGAAAACGGCCGATAAAAAAATTGCGTCTCTTAGATGTTGACGTGAAATAACATATTAGAAGCTTAACTAAGTTGAAGGCGGACACCTGAAGCGATTGTTAGTTTTGGTTACTGTTTATCATTGCTGGAGACCTTAAAGCATTCACGTGGAATACGCAATGTATTGTAAGGTGTGGGGCTTTGTTTCATATCGTTTCTGACTTAGGTCTGGTTGCTTTAGTTGGTCATTCAGTTTATCTTAACGCATCAAGTACTCATGAAACTCTTTACATTACAGACGACGAAAAAGACAGCAAAGAGTAATTAAAGTTTTTACAACTTTCAACCGAGGAGTTCCGTGAGATTACAGAGTATATATTCATTAGCTTTAAACGGAACATCTCTTGCTGCCCAGAATAACTCTGCGCGAAAGATGTCGCTGAGCCGAAAGTTTATTGCAGCATCAAAATAATTAGAGTTATTACCAAGAAGTTATTTAGAAAATGGTCTTTCAGGAAGAGAAGCACTCCGCTGTTAAAGTCAACTGCAATTATGACAGTTTCTCAGACTGGGTACTCCATTATAATAGGTCTTCTAGCTTTAAAGTTCGTGTGTTCGTGTTCTCTCGAAAATCACATCGCTGACAGACTGTGCAAAATTGGCAAATGGATAAAAATGGTAGGGTAAAATCGGGCAAAAGGGATATAGTGGGCAAAAGGAATCAGCTAAATAAATGAAAACAGCTTCATCACAGAAACCTGACAACGCTGTTTAACAATTCGCTGAGTATGGCACAAGTTCATGCGCAACGCGTTCCCTCGTGCTAAAGTTTTTACCTCATATTTGTTAAGGTGTTCTAATTAATTACGTCTTGAATAGTTGTTCAAAGGATTTTTGAAGAAGGGTAAGTAGTGACTCAGCCATTTATTCAAAACGATTTAGTTAATAATCGAAAGATTGGCACTTCTACTTTTCTACCTAACCTTGAAAATATGTCCATTGTTGCCAGCGTCTCGTAAATTTTTATTTCCTTTGTGACAGTGCATTTCGGGCAAGAGGAATCAGGCAAAAAGGATCATGATTCCTTTTGCCCGTATATCAATTTTTGATTTTCATGTAGGTATGTAATTTTCGCTTCTTTTCTAGATGGTTTTCAAGTATAAAAGAAAGTCGGAACGAGGAAGCACCTGGACAGAAACATCCATGGAACATGCATTGCAAGCAGTGCGTAACGGGGAGTCGATAAGAAAAGCGTCTTTAACATTCCATTCTCAACGTTCCTTAAGCATGTGAAGTCTAATAAAACTACTAAATCTCTGGGCAGATTTAAGACGGTTTTCACTCCAGAAGAAGAACAAGAATTTGTTACCCATATCAAAGAGCTTGATAGCCGTTTTTATGGGCTTACGCGACGAGATCTTTGTGTGTTAGCATATCAATACGCCGAAGCGAACCACATTATTCATTGTTTTAAAAATAATGCAGCGGGTCAGCAATGGTATCAACATTTTATGAAGAGACATCCTGAGTTAAGCTTACGGACACCTGAGCCGACCAGTGTTGCACGAGCCAGTGGCTTTAATCGCCCACAAGTGGAGAGGTTTTTCGAAAATTTGAGGGACGTCATCGAGAAAAACAATATTTTGCCTGAAAATATGTACAATGTAGATGAGACAGGGATCCAAACCTCTACAAATAGGCCTCCTAAGGTTATTTCCCTGAAAGGCAAAAAGGGAGTTGGAGCTATATCTTCCTCCGAGCGAGGCACACTAGTAACGGCACTGTTTTGTTGTTCCGCTGCTCGGGCATATATTCCTCCTACACTAGTTTTCCCAAGGAAAAAGAAAAATCCAAGGTACATGGAAGGAACTCCACCAGGCTCTTCTCAGTTAGTAACTGATTCTGGATGGATAAGTTCCGAAGCTTTCCTGGAGTGGATGAAGTTTTTTGTAAGCAACGTTAGACCAAATGAAGACCATAAATGTCTATTAATCTTAGACAATCATGCTTCTCATAGGTCTATTGATGTCCTTGATTATGCCTCTCAGAATAATGTCATCATTTTGTCGGTTCCACCCCACACGACACACAAGCTCCAGCCGCTAGATGTGTCCGTTTATGGCCCTTTCGGAACTTATTTCCAAAATGAAATTGACAAGTGGCAAAAAGCGCATCCTGCACAACGCGTTACGTTGTTTGATGTAGGCAAAATTTTTAATAATGCCTACCTTAAAGCTGCAACACCAACAAACGCTATAAAAGGTTTCGAAAAAACTGGCATCGCAAGATGTGATTTAGATGTTTCTTCCGAAGTGGACTTCCTTCCAGCAGATGTAACTAACATTGAAGAACCAGAGGTCCGTATTAACCATAATCCTCAAGATATGAATGTTATTGAAATTGGACCGCCCAATACATCTGCCCATAATGATATCGCAAAACCTGAACCTTCTGGTCTCAATAATAGTACGACCTTAAAACAAGCTAGTGACGCTCCAAAAGGAAATAATCGCATTAAAATTATTGATATTCATATTATACCTAAATGTGATAAACGAAAAGAACCCAAAACAAAAAGGAATCAACAGAGATCAGGGATTTTGACTTCTACGCCAATTAAAGAAGAAATTACAGAAAAAAGTAAGAGCAAAGAATGTGTCAAAAGTGTTAGAAGGAAGATCCAACAAGAGACAGATTCCAGCAAACTGAAAATACCTCGTCCACCTTCACCACCGAAAACCGCTCCAGATGAAGAAGAAACTCCATGTTTGATATGTGACGATTCCTTTGAAAACTCCATTCCAGGCGAACACTGGATACAGTGCAATTTCTGTGAGAAGTGGGCACATCAGAAATGCACAAGCTACAAGACTGGAATTTATATTTGTCAGGATTGTCAAAATCAGGTCAAAGATCAGAGAACATAATTGAGTTAAAAATAATTATAGAATACCTTTTTCAGTTTCTACTAATAATATTTTTTTTTATTTTATATATATCAAGATTAATAAAATCAGGTTAAAGATTAGAGAAAATAATTAGGTTAAGAGAATAATTATTGTAAGAGTTACCATTTTCAGTTTTCCTTAATGATAATATATATTTTTCTATTTTCCATATTATATTTTTTCTGTTGAATCCTTTTGCCCTCACCTGTGATTCCTTTTACCCTAGAGGGTCGGGCAAATAGAATCAAATACAGTCTTTAATAATTTAGGCCGTAACTTGCTCAAACTATATTGAAATAATTAAAATCCACATAAAAGTATTCAGATAGATCATTTTTTAATAATTTCGTGCTATGAATTGGCACTCTCCGAAAGTGATTCCGGCTGCCCGTGTCTCCCCTAATCGTCACTTTGTCTCATAATGATACTCTATACAATGACTAACTAGAATGCTACTATCTCATCTTCAAGCGGAGAAAGATACAACTCGTAAGCCTGACGATAGCATTCATATACAGGATGTCCCAGAAATAACATGCCAGAGTGATACGGGAGGTAGATTGGCTTCAGATCAATCAGATAAAATAAACGTGACCTTAGTAAACATTTTCTAGTTTTCGAGACATTGCCACTTTAGAGTTTTTTGAAAAAATCTCTACTTTTTGCTCCTTTTTTACCTGTTATGGCTATAAAGAACTTCTAACTTATGATTTTTTTCAGTGGGCGACCATTAACCGTTGGTTGAGACAACCAAGTATTCATTTTATTGGAAATTAGCACACTATTCTCAAAAAAACTAAATTATTACATTTGGTTTCAATGCGAAAACCTTTACTAAAGTTTGACTAATTACTGTAGAAAAAATGTACCTGAATCAGAAAATTACCTACAGGGTTTGTCCGGAAAGTAATAGGACTGAGTCGATTTAAAAAAAATTATTGAGCTAATCGTAACAATTCTTTAAAAACTTTCAAAATAGGCTCCTTCTGCGTCAATGCAGCGCAGCCAGTGCAATTTCCAAGCATTGAAGGCATCACGAAAGGCATTCTCCGGAATAGCCTTGAGAGCCGCGGTGCATGCTGCTTGGATCCCCTCCGTCGTCTCAAAATGCTTGCCTATCATCGGCCTTTTCAGGCGAGGAGACAAAAAAAAGTCCGGGAGGACACATCTGGGCTGTGGGTCGGCTGCGGAAGCGTTGGGATGCCGGCCTTGGTCAGGTAGCTGTTCACAAGAAAGGCGGTGTGAGCAGTGGCGTTGTCGTGGTGCAACTTCCAGTGGACTGCGATGTCTTGTTGACTGACCCTTCGTTTGAGTCTCCTGAGCACTTCCACGTAAAACTTGGCGTTGACGGTTTGTCCAGGAGGAACAAATTCATGATGGACGATGCCTTTGATGTCAAAAAAGACAATGAGCATCGTTTTCACTTTGGATTTGCTCATTCTTCCCTTTTTTGGGCGAGGAGACGCCGTCGTGTGCCTCTTTGTCTCGGGATCATACTCAAAGATCCACGACTCGTCACCTGTGATCACGTTATTCAAAAATTGGGGGTCACTTTCACATATGTTCAAATTTTCTTGGCACACTTCCACTCGTCGCAATTTCTGGTCATCAGTAAGCACTTTTGGGACCATCTTCGCGCACACCATGCGCATGTTCAAATGCTGTGTCACAATGTCATGAACCACAGATTTTGGTAAATTTAACATCTGTCCAATTAAACGAATACTTAGTCGACGGTCTGAGTTCAAAACTTTGCGCACACGAGTCACATTATCGGTGTTTGTCGAAGTCGAAGGTCTTCCAGCACGGTCTTCATCAGCGACCTCTTCCCGGCCCTCCAAAAAGGCCTGGTGCCACCGAAACACACCACTTCTTGCTAAAGCAACACCTGGGTAAACCTGCTTGATCATATCAAACGTCTCCGTCGCAGATTTACCGAGTTTCATACAGAATTTCATCGCGTACCTCTGCTCTAACGAACGCTGCATTTTCGGCTTGCACCACTCACAGAAACACGTCGCGCGAAAATGCCTGTCCTGACTCTCCAAGTGCTCGGAGACAACTGACCAGCTGCTCATTCGTTAGCTAGGAACGCCCCCTACCGAAGTACAGTCATGGCGGAAGAAAATGAGTCCTGTTACTTTCTGGACAAACCCTGTATAAAACTAGCTATTTAATGTTCTTTCAAAAACAGTATAGCATTTGTAGGGTCTTTTTACTAAAAACTGAATAATTTCAAATTTTGTCATTGAAGTCGTAATATACTGAGTGATAGAAAAAGGTAGACACCTACGTATATTTATCAGAAATCAATAATTTTTTACATATCGATTTGTCTTGCCATGAACAACAAGTGATAAAATAGTCAGGCTTTGCTGTTAAGTTTTTGTGGTGGCTGCGTGTATTGTTTGGTGATAAAGAAGCATTCAGTTTTTGCACATTTACGGTGTCAGTTAAATGTTAAATTTCCTGTAGCTTCACCTTTTTGTGATTGCTCAAAATGCCTAAAGTGCCTGAAATTCGCCGGGTGTCCCAGCTAAGTGACTTTGAGAGGGGTCGAATTGTTGGATTGCGTGAAGCCGGTCTATCGATAAGAGAAGTTTCTAGGAGGTCAGTGAGTGAGCGGTTCTGGATGTCCCAGAGGGACCACAGAGCGACAAGACCGCCGGTTAAGACTTGTGGCTCTGAGAGACAGTACCCAACTAGCAAAGTAGTGCTATAAGCTTTTGGTAAAAGAACCGTTCAGCCATAAAAGCTCTCTATTGTTGTTGCCTGAACACCAAAATGCTGGCTTAATGTTGTGTGGAATGCAAATCTGATTTCTGCAACATATTTGCTCTAAAATGAGGTGTTTAAAATATTCTTATAGCACAACACCTCATAGGACAAATTTTCAACTGTTGCATAAACGTGTATACAACTATTTTATACGGCATATTTGCAGGTTAGTCAAAATGGTTGTGTTGTGGCATCCATGGTAACGTTTATAAAACAAACCCGGGCCTTGTTGTTTTGCTGTGCAAATTTACTACTTTAGTCAACAAATTGCTCCCAACGGAAGCACTTATACAAGTGTTGTTTAGTAACTGTTAAAGGCTGTAGATATGCTAAATATTTTGGTATACAACTTCACCATAACCTAACTTTCTGCTGTCATATTTTTGTTAAAATGCCATAACCGATGTTTTAAGACAAACAACGCATGCAACATATTTGCTCTAAAATGAGGTGTTTAAAATATTCTTATAGCACAACACCTTATAGGACAAATTTTCAACTGTTGCATAAACGTGTATACAACTATTTTATACGGCATATTTGCAGGTTAGTCAAAATGATTGTGTTGTGGCATCCATGGTAACGTTTATAAAACAAACCCGAGCCTTGTTGTTTTGCTTTGCAAATTTACTACTTTAGTCAACAAATTGCTCCCAACGGAAGCACTTATACAACTGTTGTTTAGTAACTGTTAAAGGCTGTACATATGCTAAATATTTTGGTATACAACATCACCATAACCTATCTTTCTGCTGTCATATTTTTGTTAGAATGCCATAACCAATGTTTTAAGACAAACAACGCATGCATATTGGTTAAAAAGGTTTTATCAACTGTTCAAACAGAAGATATAGATCTTATACAAATTCTAGGTAAATCATTCGACTCTGTCGGTATTTCATTTCTGACATTTCTCAAATTGTTGTATAACACCTGCGGCAACACCAAAATATTCAAATAAACTAAAGACAACATGGACGATGCCATGATTATACACAACCACCCGCCATATTGGGCAGACATTTATTCCTCTATTTGATTTTAAATAATTATGATATAAAGTGATAAACATTAGTGTAATTGTATCTAAATATAGGATTTGTGGAAGATTTAACGCAGATAAGTTCAGTTATCCATCTTAAAAATCTAGACATACTTTTGATCATTATCAAAAAATCACAATAAAATTTGCTGCGCAAGTAATTCAATAGCCCTATATCACAGCATAGAAGTTTATCATATACCTGTGTATGAAATTCACAATGGCCGATATGTAAGTAAACAAGATGACTGTATTGTGTTAGTTATATATATATTCTTCACTTCATCTATACAATACATAAGAAATAGTTTGGTTGCAATAAAGTAGAATCACGTAACAGAATAGTTATATAGTTGACAAAAACTGAATCTTGCACTGACGCAAATGTCCTATAGCGCCTGCAAGAGGCTTACACTTTTGTTGTATCGGGTTGTCCAATAGGGGCGCAGGAAAGTAAACGTCAATTTGACATAGACACCATCTTTGTTTTCTGTCACCGACATGTCATTTTGTTAGTTGAATGTTTACCATTGATCGCTATGGAGTTGTATTCGATTGAAGACCGCATTAAAGTTATTCAAGAGCACTACAAAAATGGTGCAAAAATAAAAAACACGTTTGGCGCTTTGTGAACATTTCGGTCGCAACAACCGCCCAAACGCAACAACCATCGGTCGTCTGGTGCGTAAATTCGAGGCAACAGGTTCTGTGGCAAATCTGCCAGGCTCTGGCCGGCCAAGGAGCGTTCGCACACCGGAAAATATTGCTGTTGTGAAGGAGAGTGTCAGAGACGATCCGAAACAATCACCAACGCGTCGATCCTAAGAATTGGGTATTTCGAGAACCAGTTTGCTCCGCATTCTCCACAAGGGTTTTGAATGTACACGCCTACAAGATCCAATTGACGCAAGAGCTGCGTCGGGCCGACCATTTTTCGCGCCGAACGTTCTGAGATTGGCTCCTTGAACACCGCCCAATTGATGCCAATTTTTCATCAAAAATCATGTTCAGCGACGAAGCGCATTTCACTTTGAATGGGACGGTAAACAAGCAAAACTGTCGCATCTGGGCGAACGAAAATCAAGAGCAGCCGATGCATCCTCAAAAAGTGACTGTGTGGTGTGCATTGTGGTCAAAAGGCATCATCGGACCTTACTTTTTCGAAAATGCGGCCGGGGACGCCGTTACCGTCAATTCTGAGCGATATCTCGTGATGATAGAGGATTATTCTTTGCCGCAACTTGAAGGAATGGATATGGACGATGTTTATTTCCAACAAGACGGTGCAACATGCCACACAACCAACGTCAATTTCCATCGATTGCAGTCCTTCTTCGGTGATCGCGTGATTTGGCACTGAGGAAATGTGCCATGCCACCAAGATCGTGCGATTTGACTCCCTTGGACTTCTTTTTATGGAGATATTTGAAAAGCAAAGTCTACGTCAACAAACCAGCCACCCACCAAGAACTCAAAAACAACATCATTGCCGAGATAAATGCCATAGAACCGACCATGTTGCAAAATGTCATTGAAAATTTCGACCATCGCGTGGACGTCTGTAAATCCAGTCGTGGTGAACATTTGAGCGATATTATTTTTCATACATAAATGGTATAAATGAACCTTCAAAATAAAGTACCCAACTTGATTTGAATATCAATCTTTCTTGTTTTAATATGCGTTTACTTTCCTGTGTCCGTTTTGGACAACCCCATATAACTGTTACCTGCAGCCCTTATACAACCTCTTAAATGACTGAAGTGTCCTATTAGGTGTGTCCATTCCGCTTATATAGCTGTTCTAAGAGGGTTTTGCCAATGTTCTTACAGTATACAATGCTGTGTAAGGAACACTGTATAATCATTTTTGCAACTCTAATAGGAGTGATAATTGTTAGTTGGGCAGTACCCGAGCCATCGCTAATTAGTGGTTTCAAGAGCATAGAACGATGGCTGGTATGCGTACAGTATATCGCCGAATACGAAAGTTTGCCTTTTTTTTTGTTGCCCACATTGGGTGCTACCTCTCACAGCTGAACATCGGCGTAACCGTTTGCTCTGGTTTAGAGAAAGAATTTCCGGGACCGGGAATGGAATCAGGTGGGCTTTAGTGACGAATCACGCTTCTGTCTGGGGATGTACGATGGCCGGGCAATAGTGAGAAAGAGACGTGGTGAAAGGCGTGACCCACAATTTGACAGAGAGCGTCACGTTCACCACCCCGTGGGAGCTATGGTATGGGGTGGTATTGCTTATGGTGGCAGATCACCACTAATTTTCATCAGAGGCAATATGACAGACCAACGCTATATTCAGGAAGTAGTGGAGCCTCATCTTATTCCATACCTAAACACCATCTAAAACCCGATTTTTCAGCAAGACAATGCCAGACCGCATGTTGCCAGAGCATCGTTAGCCTTTATGGATCAACATCGCATCAACCGTTTACATTGGCCACCACGATCGTCTGACCAATTGAACATGTCTGGGACATGACAGTTCGCAGGCTCTTGAATTTGCAACACCCTCCACAGAATTTAGCAGCTCTTACTCACGAAGTTGCAGTAGTCTGTCATAAGATACCCCAACAGGATATCGACCACCTTATCAGCACGATGCCCAGGCATTTCAATGAGTGTATAAGAAATCGTGGATCCTCAACACATTATTGAACCAGCTTCTGCAGTCAGTTGACGAATCAAGCTGAGAATTTGAACACTTTACTAGTAAGGGACACTGATGCCAAAAATTATTAAAGTCGGATATAAATACGTAGTTGTTTACTTTTTTTGTCACTCAGTATACTTACGAAATACTACAAATACAAAATAATATCTTTAAAGAGAATTAAATAGGCTACTTTTTGAGATCATTTGCCGATTCAGTATGGTACATTTATTTTTCACAGAAGTTAGGAAACTGTAAAGGTTTTAATATTGAAACAAAATGTGATAATTTTTTATCAGCATACCGTCCTAGTTTCGAATGAAATGAATACTCTGCTGTCTCAGCCAACTACTGATGGTATCCCAAGAAAAAAGTTAGGAGTACTTTATATCCTTAACAGGCAAAAAAGAGTAAAAAATATTTTTTTTTTTGACAAAACACAAAGTGGCAATATCTCGGAAACTAGAAATCTTTTACTAAGATATGTTGATTGATTTGAAGCCAATCTACCTCCTGTGTCACTCTGGCGTGTTATTTCTGGGACACCCTGTATGTAATTGAGCTTTGTAAAATGACAAAATGAAAGTTTCAATCTAACAGAGGTTGTCAACTCCAGTCAAACCTACACTGCTTATGACTGGCAGCATAATGGGTGATATGCATAAAGGTGAGTGGGTTCTCAAAAGTAGCGACTCCATATTGTAGCGATTAATTACTCCTGTTAGGGAGAGCCTACTCGGTTTTGATATGCATAAAATATTTGTCCAGAAACGGAGAGGCTCCTCAAGTGCTAATGAAATAATTGAGTAGGCACTCTGGTTTTCGAGTTCCGACTTGTATTTTGTTGTCTCGCCGAATTGGCAATTTCTCTATTGCGAGCAGTTACTACTGTATACCGGTAAACGTTTGTGTCGGTGGTGTTTAGGTCGATTATTATTTGTTCATTTACATGATGTCAACCTATTCTGAAGACCATTCATCTGAAAATCAAACAGTATTTGTTAATATAATTAATCAGTATCCTGTTTTGTTGGAAAAATGTAACATCCCGGAAATCAAAAATAAACGACGTAAGGCGGTTGAAGAAATAAAAGAAAAGGTAGAAGCCGAATCAGGAGTTAAATATAATGAAGGGCAGATTTGGAAGAAGATTCAAAACATAAAAACCAGATTATAAGCGAAGACAGACAGAAATCAAACCGGAAACAAACCAATAAAATTGAAAGGATGGGAACAAGAACTGTTCAATTTTCTACAAGGAGAATCAAATCCTAGTATTGCTCGATTGCAATGTTAGTTGTATTTTTTTGTTTTTCCATACAGTAGGTATAAGATGTGATTGAGTATAATATATATACATGTTAATAAATATAAATAGCGTATATTTTAAATTTTAGGTGCTGTTGTGGCAGGTTGCCCACAAAAAATCAGAATGTTCTAAAGAAGAAACAATCACCGAAGAAGCATCTGGAAGTTCAAGACCAGTACTGAAAGCTACCACAATGAAAGCCGGACCCAGGACCCAGTAAGGAGCCTTCTAAAAAAAAAGAAAACGAGGATTAGTGGAAACCGATGAAACACGGGATTTATCAATAACAGAGCTCCAACGTCTCATTTTACTTGAACAACTACAAGTGTTTTGGCTAGCTAAGGAACTGCTACTTCACAAGGAATCTGAATCTGATCCAAATTTATCAACTTTAAATGAATGTGCAGAAACTGGAAATCCAATTTTCATGAACCTATTTCCAGGACAGAACTGACAGATATACTTCATGTTTCATAAATGTTATTTTTTATTAATTTTTAGAACTTTCTCTTACGTTACCATTTTGAAAGTGTTATTAATTTTGTTATAAGTAATTAAACATCCTTCTTCAACATATATCTACATAATTTGTAAATTTGAATGAACATAAATAATTCTTGATATTGCATCTGTTCTGAATTGACCTCTCTGGCTGCATAGTCGGCAGCATGTTGATTATGGATTTCTTCATCATTAAGGTGCTTAGCCACATTATGCAAGATAAAACAACTCATGACAAGGGACGGCACTTTTTCTGTATCGACGCGTATTTTGTTATGTAGAATGGGAAAACGCTGTTTTAGTTGCCCGAAACATCTCTCTATTATAACTCGCTCTCTCGTAAACAGCCGATTGTATGATCTTTGTTCTGTTGTTTCTGCAATCTTAAAAGGAGTCATGAGCCAAGGAGCTATACCATACCCACAGTCTCTCAACAAAACAGCCCTAGCCCTATTCCATTTGATAACGTTGTATATATCAGAATTCTTCCATATCCAAGAGTTGTGTACAGATCCTGGCCAAGAAACATCCACACTTGTGAACTCTTCGTTTGAATTGCACGTTGCTTGTACATTTATTCTAGCAAAGTTCTTTCTGTTCACATATTCGTCTGCATGAATAAACGGCTTCAGAATAGGTATATGGGTGCAGTCGATAGGACCAATAGCTGAAGGAAAATTGAACTTTTCTTACCACTTATTTTTAGCATTGCGTAGATCTTCACATGAGGTTGGGAATCTAATCCAAATATTCGACTTCTGCACAATGCGTGTTATAACGTTGGTAACGGTTCGGGATACCGTAGATTGATGGACACCAATATCTTCTCCTATGCCAATTTGAAATCCTGGATCACCCACATATCGTAAAGAAACCCTCATTCTTTCTATATTGCTCAAAGCACCGCCCCTAAATTCTTCTGTCTCTCCAAGAAAATGGTTACTTATCCACTCAACATTAACTTTACTAAACCGATATAAGGCCCGATAGTCTACTTCCCTTGATTCCCTACGATCTTTAAACACCTTCGCAGGCTGATAAATAGGCATAAATTCGGCCATTTCGTGAAGACATCCACTTCTTATAAGGCAGAGTCTACTACTAAGGTATCTCGCATTTCTTTAAATATGTACTCAGCGGTCGGAGTGGACGCCCGGTTTTATGCATATAAAAATTAAAGTCGGCACTCGAGGAGCGAGTACAGCCTCACGGAAAGAGTAGAATCTTATGAGTGTGAGCTTCTACTTACATTTTTATGCATATCAAATGGAGTGGCTACTTTAAAAATGCGAGTCAAAAGTAGCCACTCGCCTTTATGCATATCACCCATTGTCATTGGTCAGTATTGTCTGCGTCTTCCCTCGATTTTCCAGTGCATGCTTCGCCCCTGACCTCTTTCTAGGTGCTTATTTGATGAATTAGTATCTCAGTAGTTTTTTACTAGTATCTTAGTTGGATTTTTGCATGCATTCATTTGCCACGCCTTTTTTTGGTTAATTAAAAAACAATGATAAATACTATCTAACGGTTGGTCCAAGCAAAACAGTTGTCTAGTGGCGTGCAAATTTAGACCCTAGCACAACAAAGCGGTGAGTAGTGGGGGGGGGGGGGTCGGTGTTAAGAGCGCCAGTGACTTAGGACGGATTAAGCCACAACTCCCCGAGATGTTAGTCGGAAATTGTTTTGCTTGACCACCACACAAAAGCTGAATCTAACAGAGATGACGAAATTTAAGTAACAGTACACACAGAGATAGCCAAATAAAACAATACAGGGTGACTTCGAAGTTGAGTCATTTATTTTAACAGTGAGTAGATCTGATCAAAAGAAATGTTTTTTTCCTTTACCATTTTCCTGGTAAAATTAAAGTAACAAAGTTATAGTTTGGAAGTTTGAGTACCGCCCTGTCTCAATAACAATATTATGTGGTCGTGTTTGGCGACAATGGATATAATCCGCCGTATCGGTTCATCGCATCGGAAACAAAAAAGCGAAAGAATTTGGAACGATGTTTTTACAGGTATCTCATTCATTTGTATACAGTTAGTGTCAGTGAATAGTGATATGTGTTGCGTGGCTCAAACGAAATAAAAAATGGCACATGTTTATGCGGATCGGTTTCCCAATCGAGTGCAACCAACCCCTCGTGCCTTTGTTAATGTAGTACAACGGGCTTGTGAATCAGGTGACTTAAGACCTCACAGGGGACCTCACGATCAAATACAGGTCCGCACTGAAATACTTGTCGGGAGGATACTTTATAAAACAAGGTAAACATTTTTTTTTATTTTTTTTTTATTTTTACACACATATTTTGGTTTATCTTCCTTCTACAATCATTATCTGAAAATTAATGACTCAACTTCAAAGTCACCCTGTATATTAAATGAATCACAATATATTGATTAATAAAAATGCACACGTACTCCACTACTAGAGTGCGAGTAATAAAAAAAAAGAAAGAACGTTATAAATCTTAAATACAATCTGACAAAGTTATTTTTCGAGATAACCCCGCGCAACGTCTACCATGATATACGCCCGAAGTATTTACACATATTTTGCGCCTAAATACTAAACTTATCTGTAGGTCTTCTCTGTCAGGCGCGGCCAAGATGTCCTCAACTCTGGTCAAAAAGTGGAAAGTAGTGGGCACATCACTGGGCAGGGGCTGCTTGCCTCGTTGCCAAAAATTATGGTAGTAAAAAAACCCAGAGAGAGAAAGACTGTTTAAAAATCTACTCTACTTTCTGTCTGAGATAAAACTACTCATTGAAAACAATCGCACTTGAAGCAAAACCATGTACATTTTTTTGTGCAAGAAAAGTAAAGCAAAGGCAAAAAAAATATAAAAATGTACTAAACTAATATACCCTTGTCCTAAAAAGTTATGGCAGCTCAAATATCAAAATCATGATCAATGTTAATAGAAGGTGTCATGTAGGCACTGTCCCCATATTTGAATACGTAGAATGTCCAATAAAATCAAGAAGTCTCTAAGAATTTCAATAAGCAATAATAAATGTATAAAGATCTATGAAATTGTTAATTAGAATCATATTTTACTTGTTCACATCAGGTTTTCTTTCAAGGGGATGGCTTCCACCAATACTGCAAAAAGATGCAACCAACTAGAGGAGAAAGGATGATGATTCTCTCTTCTCGTTGACTAAAAGAAAGCAGATATTGAACGAACGTCATCAGGACACGCGTTAAGGCACGTGGTCCGAAGGCATATAGGAAAGAACTTATCACTGAGGGTCAAAATCCCATAAAAAAAATTGGAGACGTAGCACCCAAACCAAAATGACTAAACTTAAGTTACACAAAAAAGGGTGCTAGTCCATGAATTGGCGCTTGGGGTCTAATATCCCAGAGTCCGGAAAATGACGAAACGACCCCTGCACCACGACCTCAACGGAAACGGAAAAGCGAATCACGCAGAACACGTAACGTTCTAGAAGAAGGTATCTTGAGTGGCCTTGAAGAAGATATGTTTTATAGGAAACCAACTAACGGAGAAAAACTACAGAGTTTTTTGCTGATCGTCAACACCATACTGAGTCGCTGAGAAAGAAAGATATAATACGAGTGAAATTATACAATCAATAAACTATTGAATTTGCCAAAAGAAAATCATTGAAAAGGCTTTGGCCTAGGAATGGGCACTCTATTATCAATGAAGATAAATTCAAAGTACGGAAAAGGTTACGTGATTTTGGCACGTGACATATTCTATTAACGAACTTGCATGTTGCAGGCTCAAATTTGTGTGGAGAATTCTTTGAAACAATTTTAGTTACATTTTAAAAATTGTTTTACGTTTTAGTTCCTACGCCACTGGCAAGGAAGAATTGTAATCACGAACGATTTCGAAAGTGAGTTATTATATTTTTTGGATGTTTAATAATAAATAATTTTAATATTCAACGACTTTTTATTTGTAATAACATTACAGCAGGCTAGATTTAGATACCATATTATTCTACTACCTAACTCGCTTAACAATACGAGATGTATAAAAACTAAAAATTTGTTAAAAATTAATAACGACAATGATAAAGCGTAAGAAATTTATTTAAACACCAACTACGAGTAGTTATCATAAATTACAACTCAATACTAAGCTAAACTATTCTATCGAATTATGTCGAGTGGCCCATTCTGTTCTACCAGACGCAACTTCCTTCGAATATCTCTCATGAGGTCCTGGACGGAATTCAGATCAGTTTCTCTCAGTTTTTCGTAAATTCGCCGTCTTAATTGTTCTTCATCGTGGGCTTCCTAGCCTCCATGATCAACGTTCCTAGACAGTAAAGTCCAAAAATCCTCTGCTGGGCGAGCCTGCGGCAAGCTTGGGCGATTATCGTTGGTGGGAACAAAAGGTATGTTGTGTTGTCGAAGCCAGTTTTTTGGTATTTCTTGAGAAATGGCATGATGCTAGGCCTGGCCAAAACATGATACGGTCATTAGCATGATGTTCGTGGACAAATTGAGGCAATTTGGAAAAGCAGTTATTAATATAGCTGTTACAATTCAAAGCTTCACCCCTCACTCTTCCCACAAAAGGTTGGGATACACCCTTGTTAGAAATTGCGAAGCGAACAAGACTTTTATCTGCAAATTTCGCTTTTGTTTGTATCTAACATTTTCTGGGTATTCCTCTACGTTGTCCGTATAAAATCCGTTGTTTCCCTTCATTTCAGAATTACTCAAAGTGAAATACTTTTTCGTCACTTAAGTCTCTTTCTATATTTAAGATCATTCCTCCTCAATTCCAACGATATTGTACTCTTAGAGTCAGTCTCCTTGTTGGCATTCCAACCTGATTTTTGCTGTTTTCACCAATCTCTCCGACCTCTGTACAGCAAACGCACGTGGTCTTGTTTCTAATTTATACATTACAAAGCAAC